CGGAGAGCACGTCGACATCTGAGCCTTCGACTTATACGACATCAACAGATTCGACGACTTCTATAGAGCCACCTTGGATGAGAACGGAGAGCACGTCGACATCTGAGCCTTCGACTTATACGACATCAACAGATTCGACGACTTCTATAGAGCCACCTTGGATGAGAACGGAGAGCACGTCGACATCTGAGCCTTCGACTTATACGACATCAACAGATTCGACGACTTCTATAGAGCCACCTTGGATGAGAACGGAGAGCACGTCGACATCTGAGCCTTCGACTTATACGACATCAACAGATTCGACGACTTCTATAGAGCCACCTTGGATGAGAACGGAGAGCACGTCGACATCTGAGCCTTCGACTTATACGACATCAACAGATTCGACGACTCTATAGAGCCACCTTGGATGAGAACGGAGAGCACGTCGACATCTGAGCCTTCGACTTATACGACATCAACAGATTCGACGACTTCTATAGAGCCACCTTGGATGAGAACGGAGAGCACGTCGACATCTGAGCCTTCGACTTATACGACATCAACAGATTCGACGACTTCTATAGAGCCACCTTGGATGAGAACGGAGAGCACGTCGACATCTGAGCCTTCGACTTATACGACATCAACAGATTCGACGACTTCTATAGAGCCACCTTGGATGAGAACGGAGAGCACGTCGACACATCTGAGCCTTCGACTTATACGACATCAACAGATTCGACGACTTCTATAGAGCCACCTTGGATGAGAACGGAGAGCACGTCGACATCTGAGCCTTCGACTTATACGACATCAACAGATTCGACGACTTCTATAGAGCCACCTTGGATGAGAACGGAGAGCACGTCGACATCTGAGCCTTCGACTTATACGACATCAACAGATTCGACGACTTCTATAGAGCCACCTTGGATGAGAACGGAGAGCACGTCGACATCTGAGCCTTCGACTTATACGACATCAACAGATTCGACGACTTCTATAGAGCCACCTTGGATGAGAACGGAGAGCACGTCGACATCTGAGCCTTCGACTTATACGACATCAACAGATTCGACGACTTCTATAGAGCCACCTTGGATGAGAACGGAGAGCACGTCGACATCTGAGCCTTCGACTTATACGACATCAACAGATTCGACGACTTCTATAGAGCCACCTTGGATGAGAACGGAGAGCACGTCGACATCTGAGCCTTCGACTTATACGACATCAACAGATTCGACGACTTCTATAGAGCCACCTTGGATGAGAACGGAGAGCACGTCGACATCTGAGCCTTCGACTTATACGACATCAACAGATTCGACGACTTCTATAGAGCCACCTTGGATGAGAACGGAGAGCACGTCGACATCTGAGCCTTCGACTTATACGACATCAACAGATTCGACGACTTCTATAGAGCCACCTTGGATGAGAACGGAGAGCACGTCGACATCTGAGCCTTCGACTTATACGACATCAACAGATTCGACGACTTCTATAGAGCCACCTTGGATGAGAACGGAGAGCACGTCGACATCTGAGCCTTCGACTTATACGACATCAACAGATTCGACGACTTCTATAGAGCCACCTTGGATGAGAACGGAGAGCACGTCGACATCTGAGCCTTCGACTTATACGACATCAACAGATTCGACGACTTCTATAGAGCCACCTTGGATGAGAACGGAGAGCACGTCGACATCTGAGCCTTCGACTTATACGACATCAACAGATTCGACGACTTCTATAGAGCCACCTTGGATGAGAACGGAGAGCACGTCGACATCTGAGCCTTCGACTTATACGACATCAACAGATTCGACGACTTCTATAGAGCCACCTTGGATGAGAACGGAGAGCACGTCGACATCTGAGCCTTCGACTTATACGACATCAACAGATTCGACGACTTCTATAGAGCCACCTTGGATGAGAACGGAGAGCACGTCGACATCTGAGCCTTCGACTTATACGACATCAACAGATTCGACGACTTCTATAGAGCCACCTTGGATGAGAACGGAGAGCACGTCGACATCTGAGCCTTCGACTTATACGACATCAACAGATTCGACGACTTCTATAGAGCCACCTTGGATGAGAACGGAGAGCACGTCGACATCTGAGCCTTCGACTTATACGACATCAACAGATTCGACGACTTCTATAGAGCCACCTTGGATGAGAACGGAGAGCACGTCGACATCTGAGCCTTCGACTTATACGACATCAACAGATTCGACGACTTCTATAGAGCCACCTTGGATGAGAACGGAGAGCACGTCGACATCTGAGCCTTCGACTTATACGACATCAACAGATTCGACGACTTCTATAGAGCCACCTTGGATGAGAACGGAGAGCACGTCGACATCTGAGCCTTCGACTTATACGACATCAACAGATTCGACGACTTCTATAGAGCCACCTTGGATGAGAACGGAGAGCACGTCGACATCTGAGCCTACGACTTCCACGACATCAACAGATTCCTGACGACTACTATACAGCCATCTTGGATAACGACTGAACCATCTACAATTTCCTTTTCTCTTCCGACGTTGCCAGTGTTAGAGCAACATTCACAACTGAGCGGCCGCCTTCAACGGTCGCATCCACTTCTACAAAAATGGAGCCTACTTCTTCTACGACTACTGTGCCATCGACAACAGGTAAACATGCTCCACAAAAATGTTGCAACAATTTCTTGCCGTGCATCCACCACTTTCGCCGCGCTAGCAAGGCTTGCTAGCTCGATATCTCTAAGCAAGTCTCATTGCAATTTCAGCTTCACTTCGCTAAATACTGGAGTTTTGCGACAATCTCAGCAGTGTCACTCTAGAGGATGTAAATAAATAAATAGCGTGATAATTTTCAGCAAGAAAGAGATGAGAGATGACAAGATATCGATATCGGCACTCACTTTTGCTGAGAAAAGCACTGAATTATGAATATTTAAATATCTTTTGTTGGTTGCTTCGCCTGCAGTAGTACCATCCATCACTCGAGTACTAGTATTCAATAGAACTTTGCGGCCGGAGCGTCGTATGGTGCCTTTTTGTACACATTGAAACTACAATAATGATGAAATTGCCCACGATATCGGAAGACGAGAAGAATTCAAGTGCAGACCACACACCGTAAGAGACAACGGCTTAGAAAAAAGTCGCTTTTCTCTTGGTCGTCGTCTTTTGTGATGTGTGGTCTGCCTCAATTTTTTTCTCGTCTTTCGAAATAGAGTAACTACGTAATCAGCCCAAAAACTGCGTGAGCTTCATAATTTTCAACTGATTGCAGTGCTATTCGTCTAGTGGGTGCAAGCTCACTACACATTTTTATGTGCGATTAAATTCCAATTGAAATAAATATTATAGAACACACAAACCATCTTCTTCTTTTTAGAGGTGCCTGGAAAAAAACTGTCCTGCCTTATCGTAGGTGACATGTGCAATTTCGGAACGAATCAAGCGGCTTATAATCAGGTAAGCGACCATGGAAACTCTTTGTATTTGTTCTCCAGTAATGCAAATCCTAAATATTTTCATGCAAGAATTGCGGAAGGTGTGAAGCGAAGCGATTGTGGAAGGTTTTATAGATATCTGACCTCGTAAATGAAAGTGAGTACAGTGACATGTGCAGCTAAAGAAAGTTACCGGCCAGGGTCGAAAGTCCTTGGTGCTACTTAGGATTACCAGAGAAATCTCGAAATCAATTCCACCGTCTTTTCAACTCGAAACCCTCAACCTTGTTGAGCAGACATTGCGCGTACGGTCAAAATGGATACAATAAGACATCCACCGATATGACGACGCATATAGTTGAATGGTAGATTAGTGGCAGTTGTGTTTGACATAAATTCTCGCGAGAATGCGTAGGTGTGAAATAACGTACGATAGAGCTGTGGGAAAAGCGGAGAGACCCCAATTCCGCCTCACTATCTGCTCGAGCCCGGCATCAGGCTGCTCAAAACATTAGGGTGGTGACAGCTGTGAGGAGCTGTGACGATATGATCTGAAGAAAGCCAACAGAAGTTATGCGTGAGTAGAAGAATTTTTTGAGCTTCTCTGCAAGAAATTAGACCGGTAAGAGGGACCACAAATGTAACTGACAGCTCTTCCGTTACCTGAGCATCGAATGAGAAGATGAGTTGGGATGCGGTTGTTTAGGTTGGGAATCGTCAATTGGGCTTCAAGCAGGGTCAACCGTCCGTTCGAACTGTTCGAACGAAGGGGTCGCATTTTGGTCGGAAGGGGGTCGCAATTTCGAGGACTGCCCAGCCACAGGCGCGTGCGTGGCGTATCCGAGGGCAAGAATTGTTTGTGCAGACCGCATTAGATTCGATTAATTATGCACAGAGAGACAGTTTTAGGCAAATTACGTGTTTTCCTTGAGGAATAAAGAACAGTTGAATGCATCCCTATGAAAGGTTTGACTTCTCGGGGCTGAAATTAAAGTTCTTCGGGACCTGATTTTCTGAGGACGATTCTTCCAGACAACGGTAAAACACATAAGAAAGCAGAAATCTCGTAGTCTTCAAAAATGTCTTCGCCCCTCCCCAACAAGTTCTTTGAAGGAAGTTATTATTGCTGAAAGCTCAAAAACTCGCATGTGCTGCTCAAAAACCTATGGGAACAAAATGTTCGAACGTGTGATTTTCTCGGAAAATGGATTTTGAAAAACGGTTTGGTGCTTGTCAGAAAGAGCAAATCCTGTACTTTCACCCCATGAAAAAAGTGCATCACAGAAATGAAAATGAAGTGAGTTATGCCCGCTTAAAGCCCAAAAACTCGCGATTTCAAAAAAGTGTTCGGCAAAACCCCCCAAAATGTTCGAACGTGTGATTTTCTCGAAAATGAACTTTGAAAAACGGTTTAGGCTTGTTAGAAAGAGCAAATCCTGTACTTTCACCCCATGAAAAAAGTGCATCACAGAAATGAAAATGAAGTGAGTTATGGTCGCTGAAAGCCCAAAAACTCGCTTTTGCACGAAAAATGTTCGAACGGGACAATTTTTTGAAAAAGGGGACAATCACTAAAACTTTTTATACTATTTTGTTAGAGAAATATTTGAAGTTTCTGAAACTTTTTACAGATTTCCAAAATGTCGCATACGAAAGATTTTATGGGCCTTCAAAGTTGAAGGTGCGCCTTCTTAGAATTTTGGGTTTTCCACTTCTAACAGAAGTACTTTCCGGAGAGTTAGGCAATCCTTGTAGTTTTCTGAAAGCGCACCTCAGGCACAATCAAAATCTACCTCAACAAGTCAAAAAAGTACGTCCCAAGAAAGTTATTCCCCTCTAAAATTTTTTCTTCGCCGCGTCCCGTTCTTCCAGCGCCCGGGTGATACCTGCCGCGCTCCAAGGCCGACGCGACGACGCGCAGACGCTTTCTGGCGCAACGGATTCATGTCTAGCACTCTTATTAACAAAAACAGGGGGTCGCAACTGGACCCCCTCGAGAGCTAGGGGGTCGCAAAAATCCCGAAAATGTTCGAACGTGACGGTTGACCCTGGTTCATAAGGGATCTCACCACTCAACTAATGCGACAGAGTGCATCAACCACAAAGGATGGTGAAGTTGGTTGCGCATAACCTGAAGCTACAGAAACAGACCGTTCTCCTCGAGACTTGGTGGGCTGAAAGATTACCTTCTACGTGATATCATGAGTGCGCTAAGACCCCTACCATAGGAGACATTCATTTTGTGAATACGAGATCTCGCCCCCACAAGTAGAAGTGAGTACAGTGGAAGGCATATTAAGCATACCCAGGGAAAGGAAGGTCCTGGCCATTGTCAGCTCGCTGCATCTAGTACAGCAAGGGAAAGAGTTCTTTGGATATTTTGAAGAAAGATTTTTGTGAGTTGGTTTGTGAGGGATGGAGGACGTATGGCGAGATTTTTATACAAAGGTTGTGGAGCCTGGAAATTTGGGGAACGTTAGCAAAGAATCTGGGTATGTTATGGCGTTTTGGACAAGCTTCTTCCAATTCCAGGATAAGTTCAGGAGAGAAGCTCAAGACTAAGGACTGTAAATCTTCCACTCGCCTCACTCGCCCGCCCTCTTCCCGTCTCGAACGGAGCCGTCTCGGAGGAAAGCTGTCCCAGAGTTGAAGTGTGTCGACGCTGGCCAAAAATCAAATAGTACCCTAGAAATAGTCAGATGGTGAGGATGGTGGTGGGGAGAAAAGCCCATATAGAAGTGACACCCTTTACATATGGTGGGCGGGTCGTATCACGATCACGTTAAGGGACTTAAGCCCGTTTGGACAGAGCGAGCACAAGAAGTAAACGTGAATTATAATGGTCCGCTGTAGTCACGTACAATGTGCGACGCATTGACGCGCTCAAACGTGTGCTCGCCTCCTGCTTTTCGTTTTCTTTGCGCTCTCTCAGCGACAAAAAATCGCCAACTATACTGAGCGCCGTCATGTAGAAGATGAAGGATAGCGCACATGTCAGATTGGCCTCGCGTAGGATGGGCGGCACCCGAGGGTGACCTGCCTTGAACTCCCCGCTCAGCGTTCAGACTCGCTGCCTGCGCGGCGAGGCAAACGCTGCAACGCTCCTTCATTTATGGGATGTCAGCGCTTTCCTTTGGGTTGCTACCTGGAGAGAGGGTGCCTTATTGTTGGTCGAGCCTGTATACCATTATTCGAAGCATGTTGATCGCGATGCGCACAGTCCGTGACTATGGCAGCAACATCGTAATTCACGCTTACTTCTTGTGCTCGCTCTGTCCAAACGGCTTAAGTCCCTTAACGTGATCGCGATACGACCCGCACACCATATGTGAAGGGTGTCACTTCTATATGGGCTTTTCTCCCCACCACCATCCTCACCATCTGACTATTTCTAGGGTAATATTTGATTTTTGGCCAGCGTCGACACACTTCAACTCTGGAGAGCTTTAGAGCCAGCTTATCTCCGCCTAGGGGGGATACCGAAAAACCCTGAAATTGGCGCATTGTACGGTTGACTCGGTTCCGGCGGCTGTCGGTAGAATTTGGGGGAATCGGTCAACTGTCCTAACACCACTCAATTATTTTCTTGCCTTTCTTGTGTGCCGTCGCCTGGACTTTGATTGTTTTATTCGTGTTGTGATAGTAGAATCTTTTCAGGTGTACCTTCCAGATGAACGACTTCTTTCAGGAGAAATACTTCATCGGAAACACTAGTCAAAGCCTCTTCAATTCGACTTCGCAATTCAGAGCGGGATTATCACTGTATGGATTTGTTCGTGAAACTTTTCTCAGGGATGGATTCGTCAAACTCGAGAGCTCATTCGAAGAGTTTCACCCTTTGCTGAATCGTATGAAATATACTCCGTTTGGTTCTAAGACTTCGGCTACAATGTGAGTTTGTTTTTTTTTTCTCAAAACAGCTTTCATAGTTCAAGACAAAATTGCCAACTTGCTGCTCTCGAGTGCTATTATTTTTTGTTTACCCTAACCCGGATCAGTGAGATTGTCATTACATTGACGATAAGTTGAAGATAACTGCGAGTATCGAAGTGACCATCTTGATTAGTTAACATCCTAGGTAGGTTGATTTCATACAAGTCATACCGTAAACCACATTCTATTGGGTCGCCCAATGAAGTTGCAGATATCAAGCATGTATTGTTTTGAAACATTACTGATCGAAGGAAACTGTCGTCCAGTGATCTAGACGCTCCTTGCTTGGGAACGGTTTCATCTTCAGAGGAGATTATCTGAAAACTCGCGAATCGGGATAGAATCGCAACTCAAGGTTCCTGTAATTATGGCTGCCGCTGCACCAAATAGAGCTTGTACAAACTTCGGGCAATTCTCGATAGCAGCACGTAGCCACAACTCGCAAGAACAAAAATATTCAGTCTAAAGATGAAAGACCAATTAAAAAGGATAAAGCATTTGCCGTTGATCAATCCCTTTTGGGATGCGGCACGCATTCTACTTCCATTTGTACATTCGTAGTGGCGTTTGAATGCGATGTGGCCTATACAATGACTTGCGGGGGCCAGCCGATGTACAAGTCAGTGTTTTTATCCTCCCAGACAAGTCTGGTACCAATTAACCGACCCCGGAGGGATGGAAGGCTTGGTTGGCCCGGGCGACTCACGACCCAGGATTTGATCCCCGGACCGCTCGCGTGGTGAGCGTGCACTACACTTCCGCCGGACTAGTAGAGATACATAGTTATCCAACAAATGAGAGATAAATGCACAGTAATAATGAATAGCATCGATACATAGTACAGTAAATGAGTCGAGCCATTCCAGTTAACTGATTCTGCGGACGACATTTATCGTCAGGGGCAGGGAAGGGGGAAAAACTTGCATGACAACTTAGTCAAATCTCGTTTGACCCAGGTCTGCGCTAGTTTGAAGTACGCAGCGAACATATATTTGCATCATACTAGTATTTCAGGGCATTAAATGCAATCAACAGATATAAAGACTTCAAGAAGAAGCATGTAAATTGCTTGATCTTCTTTTCCGCTCAGTGAGTCTTGGCTATTTATGTCTATCTTCTGAAGGTGGACCTGTCACCCGCTGAAAATATTGGCGAGGTATCATAACTTTAGGCAAAACCCGGCTGTCTTACCTCACTTGAAACCAAAGATGGAACCCAATGCGACTCTCGTTGCTGTCGGCTTCAACGGTGAGTGAATAGTGTCCAATGTTGCCACTAATAAGGTTTTACCACGGAGGTCTTCCAGGAAAGCACAGCTTTTTCGCATGAATAGAGGTACGTGCATACAAAACTGTGTTTTTCCTGAGCGACCCCCTCAATATCAAAAGAAGGAGCGAAGAAAAATTTCTCAAGGAATTATCGTTTTTACCTTTCCTCACCATTTTTTAGCCAGTGTCCGCGTATAATGTTTGTTATGTCTAATTATATTGGGTTGTGCATAATATCGTAGCGCTCGCATTCGGCAAAAACGTTCAAAGCAAAACCCAAAAGCAAAGCCAAGCATAAAACTAATCAGTGATGTTCTTCTCGTCATTATATACGACTTTGATCCCATTTCGCGAAAGATTGCCGGGTCCAGAATTTAAAAAAGGGTACTGAGCCCGTTTTCAGAGTCCTCATCATTCTCAATATGTACGACGTAAATATGATTTGTGATTGAGGGTCGATCGGAGTAAGTTTCGATGATGACGATAGATCCCGAAAAACTCCCATTTTGGCAGCTTTTTTCTTTATATAGATTTTCGCCCACCTGAGTTTCCAACTTCTAAGCACCATATCTGAGTACACTTACAATATAGAAGAAAATAACAAACAAGGTATTGTAGAGCGGAAGAAGTACTTTCAAATGATATATGTGATTTCCTTGGTAGTACTTGTATTCACTGAATTTGTAGCTCGAAAAAAAAACGCTACGATATTATGCACCAACCCAATAGATTGTGAATAAGTTTACGCTGACGCTAATTTTCCGAATTTTGGAACGCCAACACAAAATGCAAATAGTTGTCACTCTTTAGAACCACGGACCACTTTACCCCCCCCCCACCCCCTTTTCAGTATTCAGAGGGCCGCTTGGGAAAAATGAATACAGTTCTGAGTTTCACGCACATTTCCAGAAGACTTCCTTGTTAGAGGATCATTTGCGCTCGATACTCACTACACTATAGTTTTTTAGGTGTCAACCTAGAGAACATTGTGAAAGGAAGAGGAAAAGCAGTCAGTGTTCCCTTGCATTCACATCAGAACACGTTCAGAACGTCGTCAATGCTGTGCTCAGCGGCTGATTATCAATTCAGTGCCTCGCGTCTGTACATCCTATTTGTCAACCTGTGCCCGACTGGGGACACCCTTGAAAAGAAAGAATTATGTCCCTCAGTGTCTTTCTGTCTATTGTAGTTTATTGCCAGAAATGCAATCCATCCACGACTGATGGCGCCACAGTAAAATGCTGTGTGGGGTAGTAACTGAGACTCTGCAGACTGAGGCGTACATACAGTAGCGCTCGAAAGTCTTCGGTGGAATACATTTTTCAACTGTAACTTTTTTCCGCTGAATCAAATCAGTTCAAATTTTGATATGTTTTAAGACAGTCCTACTTCACTTAAACGGCATATTTGTTTCGGATTGAGAAAGAATTAAGAATGGAAAAAATCATTTCACTAGAAATTCTCGCGTATGAGCAAATTCCAAGTAAGGTTTCAAATTACTCTAGCAAGCTTACAATTCAACAAAACAATCTTACGCATGATGAATAACACTGGGCAGGTCCAATACTTTGTTAATGATCTTCTGGGTCGCTGAAATACTAACAAGGCCTAAGTAAGGAATCAGTCATTGAATGCACTGTCTACTAGGGCAGCTTCCTCCACTTCTCACGAATTTCCGCCCATATTCTTGGCTCTTATTTCTACCAAAGATATACTTACCCAATACCCATACTAGTACTTACTTTCTCATAATAATGTTTCGATGGCGCTCAGGACATGTGTCTGAATTGGTTCCCTTCGTTGAAAGCGCGCCATGCTGTCGAAACCAATCCTTCACAGTGAAGGTGCGATGCTTTTGGTCGCTCTATTGCTAGAAGGCGAACTCAGTCGCTTACATTTGTCATACGTGTACCCTCCCCTTCAAAAGCCAGAAAGTGTCGGGTGCAGACCATACACCACAAGTGACGACGGCCTCCACAAAATGCAAATGTTTTCTGCCAATGAAATGATTAGCCTGTTGCAGTTGTATTCTATCAGTTGTCACTAATTACAACTATCATTTACCAAAAATCAGCTATCACTATGAACCACTACTAACCAGATTTACTTGGAGGCCGTCGTCAGTTGTGGTGTTTGGTCTGCACCCACACTTTCTGGCTTTTTGAAAGGGAGGGTAGATACGCAACTCCTTCTAGAATCTGATTGATCATTCACTACTTCTCTAATCTTATATAGTTGTGAAGCATCTTTTACGACTACCACACGCGAGCCTCCGCCAAGTTCAA